GGATGCACCTGCAGCGGGGGGCCCCCATAGAGCTGAGCAGCTCCGGTCAAACGCATGCATCGCCACCACCTGCAGCAGCCCCAAACCCTTCCTGAGCCACCCACAGAGGCAGCAGCAGCAGCAGCAGCAGCAGTAGCAGCAGCAGCAGCAGCAGTGCACAGACGGTAAACACTGGTACCCAGCAAGGGCCCCGCACAAAACCCCATAGTTTCCTAGGGGGGCCCCATGGGGGGGCCCCTGTGGGGGGCCCCCCTTTGGGGCGCAGATATTGAAAACCCCAAACCCTAAACCCTTCTCTATGGAAAACTCCCTCCGCTGAACCCTAAACCCTAAACCCTAAACCCTAAACCCTCGTTTTGGTCGCTTACGTTGGAACGCAGAAAGCGAAAACCCGCGAAAGGCTGCCGAGCTCCTCGAGCGGCATATGCTGCACACACACGGCCTCTCAAACCCTAAACCCTAAACCCTAAACCCTAAACCCTAAACCTGAAACCCTAATCCTAAACCCTTCCTTGCGTCACTCAGGAGACAGCTGCTGGGCCCACAGCAGAAGCCCCACCGCCCATCCCTACGCCATAAACCCTAAACCCTAAACCCTAAACCTAAACCCTAAACCCTTTGCTGGAGAGAGCAACTGCTGCTGGGGCCCCGTATCTCTCGGCTCACCGGCAGGTGGGGGAGGGTAACATCGAATATAAGTTCAAACAGCTGCTGCTGCTGCAGTGCATTGAGGCTTCTTGCTGCATCAGCAGCAGCAGCAGCTGCTGCTGCTGCTTGCTCTGCTAGCATCTCGTGTTGGTGCTGCTGCTGCAGTCCTGTTGCTGCTCCTGCTGCTGCTGCTGCTGCTGCTGCTGCGTTCGCCTGCAGCCATAAGCCGCGTGCCTCCTGTAGATTGCGATGCTGCTGCTGCTGCAGCACGTAGGTGTGCTGCTGCAGCAGCAGCAGCAACTGCAGCAGCTGCTGCCGCTGAAATGAATGCAGTATTTGTTTGGCTCTCTCTACAACAGCTTCATACGCCTCAGGACACAGGGGCACCACCAACCCCCCAACGCAACCATCCCCACTCCTCTCCGCCTGGGGGCCCCCCCAGGGGCCCCCCTGAGGGGCCCCCCAGGGGCCCCCGTGAGGGTCTCGCTGAGGGCCCTGCTGGGGCGGGTCCAGGGGGGGGCCCCCTTGAGGGTTCCCCTCCTGGGGGCCCCCCTGAGGCCCCGCTTGGGGGCCCCCTTGGGGGCCCCCCTGGGGGCCCCCAAGGGGCCCCTTGTGTTTATTTGGGGGTTTGAGGCCCATGGCTCTATCGGGTTGCTGCAGGGTCTGCAGCAGCTGGTGGCGGTTGAGGAGAGAGATGGGTTTGGGTATATCGAGGCCCCGTACATACACCTTAAGCCGCTTGTCTTCTATACGCTCCAAGGGGGCCCCCCCCCCTTGGGGGGCCCCCGGGGGCCCCCTTGCATCTGCTGCCCAGGGGCCCCCTGATAGCCAGGCCCAGTCTGCATCGAAATCCTCCGTGATTTGAAACCGCCAGTCGGAGGGGCCCCCTGAAAAGAAAGAGGGTACTGATGAGGGGGGCCCCCCCGGGGTCCACTGACTCCCCTTATGCTCCACTGCATCATAAATACAAACGGGAGAAACATTCTCCGAGCTTAGCTGCTGCTGCTGCTGCTGCTGCTGCTGCTGCTGCTGCTGCTGGTTCTGCTGGTACCCTACAGAGCAAGAGTGGGTCTGCTGAGGTTCCTCCTGGGGGCCCCTTTCTGCATTGGGGGCCCCCGTACCCAACATATGCCGCGTGCAGCGGGTACCCCCCGGTCCTGTCTCCTCAGTTGTAACGAATAGCCAGTGGGGGGCCCCCTCTACCTTTCTCTGTTCCTCTCTGAGCGCTGCCTCATCAAGGTCAGGCCGAGGGAACCGCGCTGCGGCCCCAGGTATGCTGCGGGGGGCCCCCCAAAACCCGTTCTTGGGGGCCCCCCTAGCAAGAGTACCCTGGGCCTTCATTCGAGACTCCTTGTTGCTGCTGCTGCGGCTGCTGCGGCGGGGGCCCCCACGAAAGGTTGAAGGGGCCCCCTGGGGGGCCCCCATATCCTTTGCTTCGCTATGGATGGTCTTTGGGGCCCCCAGAATCCCGAAAGGGTACCGCAGGTGACCGAAGGGGGGGCCCCTCAGAGGCCAGGGCCCCCCCCCTGCACGGAGGAGCGGCATGGGGCCCCCTCTTCCTTTTGATGTTTATAGGGGCCCCCAGAAGATTCAGCAGTTTGACGCAGAGGCAGAAGGGGGGGCCCGTGCTATACTACAGCTCTCGGGGCCCCTCCTCGTCAAGGGGCCCCCCTGCTGCCGCTCGGCTGCGTTGCTGCACAGGGGCCCCCAGGTATATTAAAATAAAAAGAAAATAATTATTACCGTGAAAAATAAACCCAAAATATCTGTATTTGAGGCTAAAATACAGCGGCAGCAGCGGCAAACCTCCCAAGGAAACCACGCCGGGGGCCCCGGGGGGCCCCCCTACCAC